GAAATACAACCTTAGATACGGTATATTAATAGTTCAGGCTGTGACAGCGTCATTATTATATGTGGCAGTTAATCATTTTTATATGATGGGAAAAAAAAAACCTCCGTGCTCGTTGTTCTTTTTTTTTTTGTATTTCCGAAAGTGATCCGTAAAACGTAGCTTTGCCGTTTTCAATCTCCAGTTCTTTCTTTTTTTTTTCCTTTAGGACGTGAATTAAACGCGTTTTCCTTCCAAATCCTGCTTTCCCAGGCTGCTTCTGCGTGTTGGGCGTTCCGCTTCCACCAAGAACAATTAAAAACAAACTGTAGGTCAGGATCAAGAAATTGTTTTAAAAATAAAAAGGTCAGAGAAGAATTAAACCAGAGAAAGTTACCGTCTCCTCCCTTCACCCGTGAGATCTGAAGAGATGACAAAACGTAGCTTTCCACGGTCTCTCATCCCACTGCTAAAGTTAAAAATAATAATAATAATAATAAAGAAGTCAACGCAGACCAACGGATGTCTGAACGGCCGAGGTTCGGACTGCTGTGATCTCGCTGTGTTCGATAAAACACCACGACTCTTAAAACCGATAAATAAATAATAATCTGTACAGAAACTGAACGACGACAAATGAGAGGAGTGTAAGAGAGAGGCAGGGTTTCGGTAAAAGCGTCCCTTCTGCCCCGTTTGTCACTTTGAGTGCTGGATCGACCTGCTCGCTCCCTCTCTCTGGGTTAATCAGTAACGGTGTCCTGGGAAGAGGAATGAACCGCGCACACACACACTGACACAAAAGTTAAAAAGACAGGTGGGTTTTTATGGCACACACAAAGAGAAAGACACACGCACAAACGTTGCAGGGATGCATAGACACACTACAGAGATACAAACACACAGACGCACACATTACAGAGACACAAACGTCACAGAGACACAGACAGGTCTTGCAGAGACTAAGAGAAAAATATTATAGGGAACCAAACACACAGACACACATTACAGAGAACCAAGCACACTCGGTCACGCACTGTCACACACGTTAATCGACCCATCAGGCCACTCTCTTGCAAAGCCCCTGTATCTGGGAAACAAGTTCAAGTTTATGGTCATTATACTCATACACAGGTATATGGTATAAAGAAATGCTATTTAGCTAGCTCTCAGAGGGTAAGTAGTACAAAAAACAATATGTGCAAGAAACGAAAGACAGAGACGACAGGCAATGTGCAAAACAACAACAGTGGTGCAAAAACATACGTCAACACAATGAAGTAAAGGATACAGAATTATGGGGAGTGCATGTCTTGCCACGTGAAGTAGGTTTCAATGTGCGTTGGAGTTTTGATCAGAAGAGAGAAGGGGGCACCAGGAGGGTTTGTGGGGTACAGACCTGGGGACAGTCTGATCGGGCCGATCCGGCCCCTGCTCTCCTCCTGCGTCACGCGGTGGGACAGCACAGCCTTGAG